ATAGGGGGTAAAATGGGGGGGGGGGGGGATGCTTGGGTCTCCTGCTTCTCAGATTTTATGTTGTGAAAATGTCTCCACCGATCTCACATGTGAGATCTTAGCAATGTCTCACACTGTGGTTAGTTTTGACAAGATTCCTGAGATTTTAATGTGTGAACTTAAAGATTTCTGTTCAAATGATCTTGGTCATGTGTCCACATGAATTTTATAGCTCTGTACTTTGTCAAAAGTTGTCAAATTGTGACTTATTTCTCCTAATGATTTTTTGGGAGAACTTCTGAGGCAAAGTTGATACTTAAATGAAACATTATTGAGATCTCCATTATGTAAGTCTTCTGATTTATGAAGGATCAACCTCTGAGCAATAAACATTTCCTCTGGGTAGGGTTGTTTATGTGTTCTGTCCGCTGGGACAATCTATCTGCCCCACCTGTGCTGGCTTTTGTTTCGCTGTCATTTTCTTTAAAAAACTAAAGGATTGCAGTTCAGCCTGGGGGCAATAGTGAGATTTGTGAATAAGAAAGCTGATAATAATTTTGCTTTATTGCTTTCAGCTAAGCAAACAACTTTTTTGCAGACAAAAAAAAGAAGCTTTAATGTATTATCAGAACCATTTGTGGGTTACAGTCCCGATTTCTAATAGTCATCATTTTGGTATAATGATTAAACCTCAAGTAATGTTTTTAGAAAAGAGCAGCTTCAGGGATTAAACATGCTTGAAATGACTCCTGTGAAGGTCTTTTTCCCACTTGACACCCACACACACATATACAGTGCAGTGGTGTATGTATTATTAGACCCTCGGGCACTGTGTCAGAGTGAATAAGTGGATACACACATTCTTTATTATTGAACCAAATAAGCCACTAGAGATGGACTGTGTGAAAGTGTGTTTGGTTACAAGGTTAGAAAAACACACTGCATTCACAGAGCACTTCAGGTTCATGCAAAAGCAGCCCTGGCCTTTTACAGTTTATGGTATGGATCGTGTGAGGAAATACCGCTGAACGACAGATAAATAATTTTCTGTTGACCTTGTGCTGAGGCATCAGAGATATCAGCAGGATGTTGTAAAGTGCCACACATGGTACATTAAAATTCACACTCTGGTCTGAAAATGGACCTGAAATAAGACTTGATTGTGGAGTAATTGGCCCAAAAGTGGCTAATCTTTTTTTTATTTTTTGGTAGACAAAGTGTCTTTCCAAGTGTCGATATGAGCTCAGCAATTTTTTGAAGTGATTCTTGAGAGTATGATTACGATTGAGATTTAGCTGGGTGAAATGATTGAACCTGAAGGTCATTTCGATGATCCTCACCATGAGCTCCCCTATTTTTAAATCTGTTTACAAGACCTTCCCCACATGACCTCACCATTTACTGTTACCACTGTTAGACCCTCCCTGTTTCTGATTGCGCTACACTGAAAAAACATGAAATGGCCTCTAAGTAGCACTTCTATATACAGCGTACTTCTAAATCTTGCCTTTTGACCCATGGCTCCGCTTCTTACTTTTTACTGAGATATTCAAATATGTCTCCTGTTGTGGAAACACATACAGTAAAGCTTAAGGAAAGTGTATTTGAATATCTCTCACTGAATGTCATCCAGAATGGAATTCAGTCTTCTTGACTGAATTTGCTGACTCAAGATTTTGTTGTTTATGCGAGTTTGTTAAATGAAGTATAAGCTCTTTTTTATCATGCATTTTCTTTCTTTCTTTTTGTAGCCTACGTTTTATTGTGCTCTCAATATTTTTTTGTTATGTTGAGATTACACAACTGTTCACAACTTTAGGGTTGGTAAGATTTATATATTTTTTTAATATTGATAAAAGATATCTGCTGTGCAATGCTGGATTTATTTAATTAGTAAAAACAGTAATGATGTGAAATATTTTAATAAAAAAAAAAAACTGTTTTCTATTTTAATATATTTTAAAATGTAATCTATTCCTGCTGGCCAAATTGAATTTTCAGCAGCCATTACTTTTTAAATGAATGATATTTTTGTCTAAATAAATTAAAAATAAAACATTAAAACACTAAAATCAATGTTTTTAAAAATACTATATGTGAATTTATACATAACAGCATTATAATTTACAGCATGAAAATGGATAATTATTTTGAGATTTGATTAAAATTACAATTAACAGTGTTATTAAATTACAAGTGTTTAACTTTAAGTGAGCATATGACATGCAACATTAACTTGTCAACCTTTATTATGTAACCCCTCAATGTAAAATAAAAGTGTTTTTGTAGGCCACTGAGTCTTCATGCTATGCGAATGTCATAATTTTAAACATATTTTAACAAATAAAAAATTATTGAGTGCACTTTTAGGCATTTCAGCATTCCAGAATGTGTGTGTGTATGTGAATACGAATCAAGAAGGTCAGTTTGCATTTGTCCTGAGCACAAGTGAATTTTAATGTTTAAATTCTGAATGTGTCTGTGTCTCCAACTCTGTCTTTTGCTTCTGAAGTAATTTCTCAAGGGGAGCCTAAGCCTCCCTGCACCTACAGAGCACAAGGGCAAATACGAATAAATATGATAAAATATGGATGAATGCTAATAAAGCACTGGCCAAGTGTGGCCCTCACTAAAAGGATTATCTGGAAGGGCAGACATTATTACAGGGGCAGCTGCCGGTCTGCTGTGAGAGCAAAGCACGCAAACTTCTGCATCCAGATTGCTCATCTCGGTTTTATTTATTATATAATAACTAAAAGGGATGAGGGTTCAGGTTTGATTTTGTGATCGTGAAGCAGAGCTCTCTTTTGCACTGATTTGTTGTACTGAAGGCTAAGGAAGTTCAGTTGTAATCCGGCTCTCAGGATGTGATATGACTGGCACATATCAACTGGGTCCCATTACACTCATTAAACTACATAGGAATGGTTCAGTATGAGTATTCAAACCCCCTGGTGAAATGACTTCCATTAGTCACTGTTTCCAACCCTTTGTTAGACTACTACACAGTGTGTCCCTGGAGTTATCTATTCAGAGACTAGCAACCATTGATTCATTGATTCTATTTTGCTGTGCACTTCATACACGTACAGTTATGCACAATTTAAACAACCAACTACTTTAAACATGCAATACAGTGTAATACTCTATCAAATGCTGCAACACTTGCCTGAATACCTACAAATTTAGCTGTGATTAGAATTTTTCCATTAAGATGATGCACATTCTAATATCAAGTGTTTCTCCAATGAGGAAATCTGGACACATTAAAGTATAATCAAAACCATATGTGTGAGCTTTGGAAAAGTGTACATGATTCATTAAATTAAGACCCAATATCCTTATTTAGGATTGTTTTCATGAATGTGTGTATCAAAAAAGCCACAAAGGGTGCCAACCAGTAAAATATGCATTCATGAGAACTAGCTTGGAACATGGTTCACTTTGAACTATTTTTGGATGGAAAAGACGTATGTATGTGCTCTCTCTGAATTTGAATGAATTGAAATGCTTAGATTTCCTCTGATGACTGAAATGGCTTAAAGGATGCTTGAATTAGGATAGTTATTAAAAGACAAGACTTTTTTGTCTTGTGTGGTGAAAAATCATCTATTCTCCTCCAGGCCAATTTTTCTAACAATAACTCTACTGTTTGGCACAGTTGGCTAATGTGCATCTCATTTTTTATTATAATTAAATTTTTGTTGGTCAGTTGAACTCATTGCTTTTTTTTAACCCAAAATCAACTTCTAATTTCATGCTGCACATTTTGTGGCTAAGAGAAATGGAAATGGTTATTTGTGGTTATAAAGGACTTAATTCTGAGAGACCTTCATATGCAGAATAGAAATAGTCTAGAGTTTACAATACTCTACAGGAAATCCTTCATGTATTTTGTAGAGAATGTTTTGTAGAATGAGTGCAGCAGATACTAGAGGTTGTTGCTACATTTATACATTTGTGTATAGTAAAATGACAAACTTGAATTTAATGAAGGCTTCTTGTACTAAATTACTGTACCCAATTTCTAAAGAGTAAATAAGGTGAATTCTTCTATGAGTATATGTAATTATTAGACCACCTTTTTTTAAATACAGTATGGTTACAAACACTAGGAAGTGTTGAATCAACAGTTGGGAAACTGGGATTTTCTCCACTCTGCTTTTTAGTTATTAAAGTAATTCTGTACTGGTGATGCTTAATTTAGTACAAAGTTATGGGACACCGTTTGTCCTCTTCAGCTGATTTTAGTGTCCTGTAAATTTTATCCCTGTGAAATGACCTTTGTTGCAGACTTGCGGTTGTCAAAGTTACTGAAAAATAAAGCACAGAAGCTAAAAAATATGATATTGAGAGATATGAATGACTTGGTGCAGTAGTGACTTAATTCAACAAGGTACATGTAAATTCAACAAGGTACATGTAACTTTGCAGTGGGGAAACTCATTTACATTACATGTTTGGATTGATCATTTTGAAATCCACAGTTGCCTGTAGTGGTGATGTGTGTGTGATGTCCTGGCCACTTTGGGTCATCTTTACTTTGAAGATGCATTGCATCACCACTCGGCTGAATAACAAGCATGCCTACTCAGTGGTTGGGTCAGGAGTGGCTGCAAAGACCTTTGCAAAATAAAGCACTTGGTCTGATCTTTAAGTGTGACAAAGATGCCTGAGAAACTCTAATGCAACGACTCTCTCAATACCCTGATTTAGGGTCAATGAAAACATCCCTGACACTTCAAAAGGTATACTTGCTTTTATGTGTGAAACTGGAATTCTAGTTTGTATTTCAAGCTGTTGGAATTTGTTACCTAAGTCCAAATGCTTTATTCAGATAAAGCTGTGTTACACTACCTAACACATATGTCTATAAGGACTATTTGAACCAGAAATACAAAGATTAATCAATCATAGACTGAATAGTTATTAAATTTCACCAATTTTTTGCTAGCCATTGTGAACATCCATTCAGGTCATTGTCCAGGCCGTCTTGATGTATCTATTGAAGCTTGATGTTGAAAGTTTCTTGGCAGTGTTATTTAGTATCATTGATATACTATTTTGTTAGAATAAATCAAATAGTTAGAATGCAATATAGTTAGAATAGTTAGGATTTATTGTTTCAATTGCAAATCTTGAAAGATTTGCGAATACAGATCTTTAAATTCCCAGTCTTTATATAATACATTTTATAATTGATGATGACAGTAAGATACCAGTGCTGTAGTCCTCTCATCAGAAAGTGGTGGAAACCATAGAACATTAATTTGTCATTTTGTTTCAGTCTGATATTAGACTACTTGGTACCTTAAAAGAAACAGTATATGTCCCTCAGAGATGATAGCTGAGAATTGTATGATGCACACTGGTCTAATGTTCTTGATATGTGTGTTTGTGTCTCCCAGTGTAATGTTTTGGCCGATGTGTGAGTCGCTGTGGGAATGAGACTGCGTGGTAGGGATTTGGAGGATTCCACTGTCTCCTGGATACCAAGCGTCCTGGGTGTGCAGAGCGTCAGGCTCCGCCTCCGCCTTGATCACTGTGACGACAGGGGGAGGGGTCTTTGGCAGCTGGTTGACCTGGGAGAGGAAGCGCAGAGTGGGCGTCGGATACGAGATAGGACACCTCCTACTTGTTCTCAAAGTAAGACATTAATTCATGTTAACTGCAGTTCAACAGCTGAGTTCACAAACACATAATCCATGCTTGTTCCTAAATTTCCAAGGTGTTGTTTGAAATTCTAAGAGCTTTATGTGGATGGTTAGGAGTTATATTAGCGTTCTTGATGCTGTTTCCTCACTTCTTGTTCATGAATGGAAAAAGGTCAGATCTATTGTGTATAAAATGCTATATATGCATACACACACCTGTTTGTATAATACTCAGGGTTTTACCATCATTAAGAGGGATTTAGATGGTTCGCCAGCTGGTTAAAAGGATCTAAAAAGATATGAGAGAAGAATAATTGGGCACAAGAGGGAAAAATACAGTATTAGAGAGGATAAGATCGACAGAAAGAATGAAAGAGTGAGAAGATCTTCTGTTCATTACATTGGACCCTGGGATTCTGCACTGCTTGACTTCAAAAAGATTAATGGAGGTTAATTTGTGCCATGCTTAATTATTGCAGTCCCTATTCTTACGCTGTATGTGAAGAAAGGCAGATGTTCCTTCCTGTTTTTTGTTTTTGCTTTTTTTTTATAGGTATATAGGACTGTACTTGTCTTACACAAATTTTACACTAATTCTTGGTGATATTTTTCATATTTTGATCAAATGGTGTTCAGTATCAGGTTTCCCTTGTCTGTTGCTATGGCAACGTGCCATTAATGAAGTAAATAACTTCTTGCCATTGTTTCCGAGGGGTAACACACCAATTTAGTTTTTTCTTTCTTCACAAAACCCCTCCTCTATGCTAGGTGTTGGCTGGAGTTGCTTGCTTTTTTTCTTTTGTTATTTTGGTTTGAGTAGATTTGTGTGTGTGTGTGTGTGTGTGTGGGTGCACATTGTATTACACATTTTGTGCATGTGTGCAATCAGTGGGAATGTTTTAGGTATAATTTCCAGCCAGTGGCTGCAGGCAATTCCGGGCATGTGACTTTGAAACCAGAAAATTGATGATCATTCTCTATTTAGTACACCTAGACCTTTTGTTCCAGTCAGAGCAGCATTTTCTCGATATGTCAAATAGGTAGTTTAACACAATGTGAACATTATAAAATGTTAGTTAATCTATTCGCTTTGAATCCAGTTATTACAATCTGAATGCACTGAATTATTTAGATTACTATACTGGTCTTGTCAGAAAGTAGTAACAATAGTGATCGATACAGTAAATAATGATAGAAAATAGTTTATTTCAAATTATGCTCTGTAACACTGGTGGAGATTTCTTTTAATTGCGTTTATCTGACTCCACATGCCGTTGCCGTTGTTTTTTAAATTTTTTTAATTTAAATTTTTTAATTTTGAATTAAAAAATAAAAATCCAAAACCTTTTAAACTAAGGTAATGTAACATGCTTTAGGCTTTTGTCCATCTTCCTCTCCTTCTCTTTCATTTACATAGACATATAGATGAACACACACACACACACACACACACACAGTAGTTGTCCCTCATCTGCAGTGTTAACGGGTTTGAGATGATTGAGTTGCCACTAAAGATGAATCCATGACTTTAATTAACTTTTGATTAATTGGCTTCTGTATTCCAGGCATAATTAGAAATTAAATATAGCAATCAGCTGGATGGGTGAATGGCGCCCAGCTCTGCGTCAGGCTGTCTAAATGTATCTCACACAGTGCAGTGTCCAGCGAGACACTCGTGAATATCCTCTCTCTGGGTTTTATATTTCATACTCTATGCTTTTATATTCTAAACAATTTTTATGCTATATTAGGTCACCACTTGGTTCTAGTGTTAAATTTAGGTCCTGAAGCAAAACTTGTAGAACTGATTTGTGACCCTGGACCACAAAACCAGTCTCAAGTCGCTGGGGTATATTTGTAGCAATAGCCAAAAATACATTGTATGGGTCAAAATTATTGATTTTTCTTTTATACCAAAAATCATTAGGATATTAAGTAAAGATCATGTTCCATGAAGATATTTTGTAAATTTCCTACTGTAAATATATTAAAACGTAATTTTTGATTAGTAATATGCATTGCTAAGAACTTCATTTGGACAATTTAAAAGGTGATTTTCTCAGTATTTTGATTTTTTTGCACCCTCAGATTCCAGATATTCAAATAGTTGTATCTCGGCCAAATATTGTCCTATCCTCACAAACCACACATCAATGGAACGCTTACTTATTCAGCTTTCAGATGATGTATAAATCTCAATTTTAGAAAAATTGACCCTTATAACTGGTTTTGTGGTCCAGGGTCACATTTGTGTAGAGGCTTTGGTTTTGTGAATACTTTGTGTCAGGCTAGCTGGGTTTCTAGCACAGTTTCCATGAGTTTGCTCTTTGTTTGTGGTTTGCGTCCTCTTAGTGGTCAGTAAGGCTGCTCCCTAGAAACCACGGATGTGATTTCTGTGGTAGCAGCTAGTGCTCTGCCAACAAGATTTTTCACAAGTCCCAAAGATAATAACCTTTCTGTCTTTCTTTCTTTCTTTCTTTGCTCGCTTTTATTTTTGCATTGGCAAGTGCTGTTGTCATAGCAACCCACGTAGATTATTGATCTTGCTGATGACCCATTTGATTTTGTGTACGTCTATTGTAGTTTGAACTTTGCTGGTGCTGCTGTTTCTGTGTTCACGTGATCATCCATTTGTTGTGTTCAAAGCATGTGGCTCTTTGTTGTAAAGGGATTGTGGGTAAATAGAAATATATGTAAATATTGAAAACAAGTTATTTTGGTACTGTGTTTGTTGCATTAATTTGTTTATTTAGGACATTCAATGCAGTGTTTTTAAAGATGCACATCTTAACTACATTTTACACATTTTATAATATTGTAATTTTATGATTTATGCATTTGGCAGTATTGTATTTTAGTTTCATTATATATATATATATATTTTTATTTTTTTATTTTTTATTCCACTGCAAATTTGGCATGATAATGTTGAATTTGAACTGTTTTGTTTCAGTTCTGTTTGTTTGTTTGTGTGTATGAATATGCATTTGTGTGTGGTTAGACTGGAAAGACAATTGGCTTGATCTTCAGTTGATCTGGAAGCAGTTTATCACATGCAAGTATCCAAGTGGGAGGTCAAGGACAGGTCCGTTTGATAGATGCTGTGTAAAGATGTGTGAGTGTGTGTGCTTTGTGATGTAAACAAGAAAGTGTACTTTTCTTGTGCTTGTAGTCTTCCTGTAGCAGCAAAGTGCTGATATAGAAGGGGCCAAAATGTAATTTATTGCCTCACTGCCCAATGGCTTAACCTTTTCATATAAAGACTTTTCCTGAATCTTATTTCACTGTCCAGCTTACATAGTGGTTAATCTTTCGCAGATACATGAAAATGCTGTCTGTACACTCACCAACAAGTGATAATGTGAGTGTGTGTTGTTGGCATGAGCCTCTTTCGGTTCAGGACAAGAATGGGGGGGCTTTACCCAAATGCACCTTGTGAAATCATCTGCTTGGGTTTGTCTGGTTGAATGCCTGTATATGCGCTCTATGGTTTGTGAAGCTACCTTCTCAATGTCCAAATGACAAGTGACTAGCACCACCACTGATGAGTTAAAGGGATAGTCTGTTGAACACAAAAGAAGATATTTTCAAGAATGTTGGTTACCAAACAGTTAACGGTAGCCATTGACTTCCATAGTATTTTTTTCCCCATACTTTGGAAGTCAATAGCTACCGTCAGTTGTTACATACACTACTTGATGGTGAGTAAATGATGACAGAATTTTCATTTTTGGGTGAACTATCCCTTTAATGTTATAGCAAAGTGAAAACTGATGAAACTAACGTGCCTATATATATATATATATTTTTTTTTTTAAATACAATTCTTTATTTATTACATTTATAGTATATTAATTATTATAGGCCTATATGTCCAAAAAGGAAATCGAACAAAATGTGTAATAAAAAAAACTGTTTACATCTATAGATGAGTTCAGTATTTGCTCCGGTTTGCATTTCTATTTATTGTGGCCTATATATGAGTTTTTGGACATGTGATCTTTCATTTGGTTGTTTTCTTGGATTTTATTGTGCTGTTTGTGGTATTAAAATCACAGTGTTTCTGTTATTTATATCTATATGACATAGGCGTGTCAGTGCACATGAAACACTTAATTTTGTAGTATTCTACTTATCAAAATTATAAAGTAGTGGTGGGCCTTCTGTGATTCGCAATAAAGCAACTGAATTTTAATAAAAGAGGGGCAGCATATCATATTCAACTAGATAATACCCCAATTATTCAGAGATATTGTTAAAATTATTCAGAGCTAATCTTAAAATTACACACATCAGTTAAAATATTGTTCTCCAAGCTTCCATAAAAGTAGTTTCAGCCTTTGTGATTATATTGCAAGTTAGAGTGTTTAAATATGGAGTTTGAGGTCCTTTGTATAAAATTGACCTTACCTAAATGAGAATAGTGCTTTCAAGAGCTGGAGACAGGAATTTATTTATTTATTTGCCCTTAAAAAGTAAACAAATATTTTACATGATTGATTCTTAACTGTCAAGTGTCATTAAATTATATAACGCCACCCTTTTTGAACTATTAAAATGGTTTGTTGTAAAAAGTATACATATTGCCTTGTTAAATAGGATATAAATGTCATCAACATAAATAAAGGTATAATAAAGGTAATTATATAAATATAAATAAAGGTATAATTCATACTTTTTACTTCTATTATTGCTTTACAATATTAAACAGTACAAATATGTGTTATTTTTTTATTATAATTCTAATATAAATTATAGCCTAATGTTTTTTACCTTAAGGTAACTAACAGTTAACAGCTTTATTTGTACATTATTTATTTATTCATTTATTTGGTGTAGTTGCATTGCAGGGTTACAGTGTTCATCATGTCTGCAGAATGGTTTACATTATTTAAACACCGAGAAAGATCTCGAAATCGGTTTCATGCCCACATTATGTGAGCAAACGCATGCATATTTAATGTGTCTCACTACATCTAGGCTGGCGATTTGTTCTAGTTCAGCCTGTAGATTTAAACCTGCAGGGAGAATTGGCAAATTTCGTTTAATGCAATGAAAATATTATTTTTAATATTTAATAAAGTTTTTTTCGTTTCTTTTTTTTTTTAATACAATTCTTTATTTATTAAATTTATAGTATATTAATTATTACATATAGGCCTATGTCCAAAAAGGAAATCGAACAAAATGTGTAATAATAAAAAAAAAAAAACAGTTTACATAATGAATAGTATTTTTCAAATCAACTAGCCTAACAAAATTCAGGCCATTAGATTTTGGCAGTGGGTTTAGCGTTTTGGGAGTCTTGGCTGCTCTAAACGCTGCTGAAGTGTAAATGATTCCGCAGGCTCTGCATCATGATCAGCATATGACTATGGCAAAGGGAGGATGTTAGGCGCCTAGTTGCCATGACGACAGAAAGGGGACGACGTAGCGACTGCGGAGCGCGCGGTGGTATCGAGGGCTGGCGGGGGTTTCAGAAGCGGCCGGTCTGTGAAGCTGCAGGAGCACGGAAGCGGGCTTGATACGCTATTGTTGACATTGCTGACAACGAATCCGCTCCAACGCCGAGTGGTCGGTGAGTGTTCGTACATTGAAAATGTGTTTACGTGCCACTGATTTCGCGGTGAGATTAGGAGATAAGGAAGGAAGACCTCGCGCAATGCAGCACTGCTAGTAAACATGATCACGCGCATGAGGAATGGTGCTCTATTTTTGACGCTGTGTTTTTAATGGTCCGCTCTCTCTCTCAGACTGCTTTCTGAACGTTTTACCGGGCACCGGTTTTCTGTCATTGGAATTAGAATAAAATCATGTAGCTGTAGGAAAAACCATTGTGCGTAAGAAATAGATTAATGTAATTACGCATGGCCTGGTTGATGCATGGGAGAGAGAGCAGGCGAGCGGAAATGATCTGATGTTTAGAAAGTGCATATGAAAATAATTTGGAATTAGGGTCATCCTTATCTGTCTTGTAAACAAATAATAATAACTCAAATAGACGATTCCTTTATGTTTTGGCATAATATACCGACATCACATGGCATGATGTTTTGTGCAGATAACTTTTTGCATTCGTACTATTTGTCATTTAGTCTCATGAATGCTTATCTTAAAAAAATATACCGACATCACATGGCATGATGTTTTGTGCAGATAACTTTTTGCTTTCGTACTATTTGTCATTTAGTCTCATGAATGCTTATCTTAAAAAGCAGCAAAGTAGATTCATTTCATTTTGTAATCTCACAGCTGAGCTTCAAACTGTCTATTGTCTGTGCAGACTAAAGTGAATGCACTTCACAGATTGCATGGCATATTTACTATCCACCCTTTAAAAAAACTGAATATGAAAGTAGTGTGTTCTGTGTCAGTCACAGAATCAATACAAATAATTAGAAGGTAGCATAATAATTAAAATGATCAATAATTATCCCAATTGTATTATTATTATTGTTGTTATTACTTTAATTGTAGTCATGAGATTGTGATTTAATGCATAATATGTATTACTAATTTCTTTGTCCAAGAAATCGTAATTAAATAATAAAATCCTAAAATTCCACCTTAAAAGGTTCAACAGATTTCCAGGGAATACTTACTTAAAGAGTAAGGATGAGGAGAGAGGAGGAGAGCAGGGGAAGCCTTCTGTCAGAGCCAATCTTGAGGCCAGGCACCACAGCTGGAGGGGGAGGGGATGAGAGTGAATGAGGACTGGGGGAGGGGGACTGACTGACTGAGAGAGAGAGAGAGAGAGAGAGAGAGAGTTGGAAGAGCGGAGGATAGTGAAGATGCTTTTATGTGGCTCAGTGTCTGTTTCTTCCACAGTCTGCACAGTGTAGGCCACCTCACAGCTTCACCATCAAGCTTTTGTTCTTTAAATAATTCATACCAGCCCAGTTTCATATGTGTTGGGGTATGTTTTTCTGCTATTTACACAATAAATATGATTGCAATGTGTAATTATGCTCTGTATGTTATATTTTTGAGCATTTTTTCATTTTTAATTGGACAGTGTTGCTATACAGTAGTACTAAGTGTTTGTTTCACTGTGATGATTCCAGGAACAGCTGCTAGTTTGCAGGTTGCACTAGAGGTTGCAGTGTTTGGGCTGTGGTCAAGTTTTTGAGTTGAACTTCTTGTGTTTTCAGTTTTGCAATCTCAAAATGAATATGTTAAAGCATTGACTGTTGTTTTAATTTAAACTGTTTTGGTTTTGGTTGGTTTGATGTTAGTTTTCTGTGAATTAAGTGAGAGGGAAATTCCAGGGTTCCCACGGTCATAGAAAACCTGGAAATATCAGGGAATCTTAAAACTGTGATTTCTAAGCCTATATTAATAATTTATTATCTTTTCATATACACTATTTTTATTAAACAATTTCTTTTATGCTCAGTTCTAAAATCTTATCAGCTAAAATTGCTACATTGTTTATTTTTATATATTTTTTCCTTTCAGATTACTAAAATTATCCAGTAATCACGAATGACTGATGAATGAAAAATCATGGAAATACATTGGTCAAAAGGTGTGGGAACCCAAAATTTCATACTGACTACATTTCTGTGTATGCGTGTTTTGGTTGGTGGTGTGTTGAGTTTTATGATGAATTTATGGTTGGGTATTAAATAGTTGTGGTTTTGTCTTGGTTGCTTTTTATAGCTTATAATTATCCAATTATTCAAATAATAGACACGTGTACTCCTTATACAATTCAAAGTATTTGTAAAGTAAAATCCCCGTCACATGATGCAGAATCACAGTACACGTGACCATTTTTACTTTAAATCAAGAAAAACATGCAACCTATTGTATTAAAAATGAATAAATATAAATGTGTGTAAATATATGTAAATAGTTTAACATTCTGACAATGTAAATACAGTTTAACATTCTGACGACATTGTGTTTTTCTCTCTCAGGTCTGATGAGTATTCCTGCTGCTGCTGAAGAGGCACCCGGAATATCAGAGTCACTACCCAGAATCCCTCCCACCCATTAAAGTGCCTAAGAAGAGAGGGAGGAAGCCTGGCTTTAAGGTCAATAAATATCAGAGTGTTTGTGTGACTGTTTAAAAATGCGCATGCATGTGTAGGCCACAGAGATAAGGCCTTTTTACTGTTCAGACGTGTTTGCCAAATGCATAAATGTCATCAAGTGGTGCATTTGAGTACATAATGGTGCGTGTGTAACACTTATGATGGTTTAGCTAGAGGAACAGAGTAATGCTTTGTAGGTAGGCCCATCTGATGTTGACTGTATGAGAGAAGGAGGTGATAGGGTGGTTGTTCTTTGACTGATGTATCTGCAGTCTGCTGCTGAGTTATTTTTAGCCGTGTGCCTGAGCACAAGCCTCATAATGTCGCTGCTGCTGATTTAAAGAGCAACACGCTACCACAATGTGTGTGCATGTTAGCAGATTTGCAGTAGACACCGTGGAAATACACTCTTGTTTAACCTAAACCTGATGGTTATTGCTTTTTATAGCATTGTTAGGGACAGTTTATCTTCCATAACTTATATTTTACGCCATTTTACAATTACTTATTAGGGTTATTTCCTGTCTTACACATATTTTGCACATATTGTGTAAAAAGGGGTTAAATCTGGTGGTGGTTCTGGTGCCCTAGGCAAGATATGGTCCAGTCTTATGTATCTTGCTTTTGATGTGAGTTGTCCCGACTTCAAAAACATAAATAAACCAAGCAAATTTGCTACATGATGCAAATGAGAAATGGTGGTATTGGCTGCATTTTATTTTGATATTACACTTTAATGGAGTATGACTCACTAAATCGAGAACAAATAGAGACGTACATCTGGATTGTTCCTGCTCTGATTAACTTATCATGCAATTTTTTAAAAGGAAAAAGTTAATATTTAGATACATAAGTATTTTTTTTAACTCATTAAAGTATTTTGTGTGTTATTTTTGTTTTTGTTAATTATTTATATGGTTAGGACAATACACATGTTTTTAAAAAAGTGTAAATAAAAATATTTTACTGCCTGTATAGAAGTATAATAATAATTATAATAATATGATAATATTAATTATACACTGGGATGTTTTTTATTATAATATAAAAATGTAATATTATAATATACGTGTTATATGTATATATATGTTTTATAAATATCAAAATATGATTATATAACATATTATTATTATTATTAATAGTAAACTTAATGTTTATTTATTTATTTTTTAATAGCTGAAGTCTCGCTTGATGACACCCCTGGCCATCTCTCCTCCCAGCAGCACCCCGGAGCCAGACATGAGCTCAATCCCTCAGGACGCTGCTACTATCCCCCACTCAGCCACCCCACAGGTCCTCACAGGTAACGAACACACAAAAACTTCTGCAGTGTTGCCATGCCAATCCCAGAAACTAGTAACCAGCTCTTTCTATTAAGGGAATAATAAAATGTGAGCATTAAAGGAATCACTGTCCTCAGAGGAGTCACATTATGACTCAGTGCCATCTCATTCTCTTTTTAGTGGCCAGTAGGGACTGTAACTCTACCCATATATCTGTTATGATAACTGTTATTTTATCAAGATGATACGATGGGACGTGTGTCTCAGGGGTGAGAGAAGACCACCATCACTGTCTTAATTACATCCAGCCCGGATATTTTTCCTTATTTAGGACAACAATATCTATTACAATTAAACTATGAGGATGTATTGCCTCTTTTGTTTAATTTGTATTCATTCTCGGACCTAATCTAATCTTATAGAAAGTTCTTTACAATAAGCCGCTCCCTTTGAATTTATTGATGAAATGTATTTCCATAGTATACTCTACGGTTAAGCATTCAAATATTGTTGTGCCAGATGTGATAAGACTTTAATCCATTGATCTGTCAATCTAAACTCAGTCTGTGTGAATGTAGCCAGTAATGATTTCATACAGCACAGGCACACTCAATCTTTGATGTCATGACCCAGTGGTCAACACGGGCTGCCCATCCAATTGGCAATAACATCCATCACTAGAAGGAGAGGGGACAGAGAGAAACGAGTAGTTACATCTCTTATTTTAAAAGTTAATAGGTGTGAGAGTCTCAAGGGACATTATTGAGGGACCTGACTGCTCCTGCCTTAAGAGGCATTATCATTCAGTGTATCTCTTTATTACAGTAGAGAGATCAATTCTGTTCTGCAACATTGTTTTTTTTAGTGGAATAAAAAAATCTTAGTATTTAAAAAATATGAGCTTCGAATCAATTCACTTGCTAACTACAGCATGTGTGATTTAAATTCTGGCTTTCAATATTAGTGGAGACTGCATCTCAATGCACCTGTCTGGTTCTCCACTACCACGCTGTTCTAGGTCTACTTTAAACATGAGAAGATGTGACGGTACGGCTAAACTCAATCCTGAGTTCGAGTTCTCAAAGCTTAATCCCTTTGCTGTTGGGAGCAGTTGCCAAACAAGAGGCTTTTGTCTGCCCACCAGGTTTCTAGACTTTAATTCTTTGTGCAGCGGAAAAGTCACGCTCTCTTTTGGCCCCTTTCATATATTTCAAAAACCATGTTCATTTTGTCACGTAGAAAACATATCCTTGTTGTGTCGCGGCTGACACAGAATAGCATATGCTGCTTGCGTTCAGTGGTTATTCTCCAAAATGGCGCTACGGTGATGCGGAGAGACACAGAGGAGACGAATTGTTGAATAAAGTCGTTATTTATGTTTTATTCGCGTACAAAAAGTATTCTCATCGCTTCATAACGTTACGGTTGAACCACTGATTGCAGATGGACTATTCTGACGATGTTTTTCATACCTTTCTGGACCTTGACTGTAATTTACTTGGCAGTCAATCGGACAGTCACAAGCCTCCCAGTTTTCATCCAAAATATCTTAAATTGTGTTCCGAAGACAAACTAAGCTTTTAGGGGTTTGGAACGACATGGGGGTAAGTGATTAATGACAACATTTTCATTTTGGGGTGGAGTATCCCTTTAATAGCTTTTGTGCTTGAAAACGTGTTGAATTATATTGCCTTTCCTGAGTGTGCTAAATTTAAACGGCCTGTAAGCCTACATGTCTGGCATGTCAATAATCTTGCTATCAGTTATCTATTTTAAGGCTTTGTGTGGTGCATGTCAGTCCTCCCACACTCAATATTCATTGACTTCATCCTGTTACACATTCTCAAACACACGCACAAGCTACTTCTTGCGATTATTTTAACCCATGAGCGGCACGGGGAGTGTGTGTGTCTGACTCCTGGTCATGGCGTTTCTAGATGACAGACGACGGAGGAAATCCCTGAGCATGGCAGTCTGTCAGATTAAAGCATCCGCTTGCAGCAGACGAGCGAGGGAAGTCAGTGGGGACAGATTGTGTGGGAGGAGGGGGGGGTGCGAGTGATTGGTGGATTCCTACACAGGCTGCTTTCTCTCTATTTCTGGCTCTCTTTTTATTTCTGTTTTATCCTGTGGTAACGCATACAAAACCTATTGTTTTTGTTAAGATGAATCGCTCATGCTTTTATTTTTCCTTGTTTGTAAGTCACTTGAGATAAATGAATACATGGAAATAGAAATGTTTCCTATTGAGGGGGGTTGGTTTTATTTAGGGTAATCAAAAATGTATTGCCTCCGGTTGGCTCATAAAACCGCAGATGATTTTTAGGTGTGATTTACAGTATGTGAAATAATTTAAAGACATTACAGGATATATTTGTATTATTCTTTGTATTTGTAAGTGTGTGAATTGGTATATGAGGTTAAAAACATGTCTATGTAGAGACAGTATCTTTTGCCTCCCACCCTTTCTTTTATTGCTTGTCTCTTGGGTCCCATGATAAGGATGTGATATTTGTTTGAGTATTTCTTATATATATATATATATATATATGTATGTAATGCAGTTATCCTTTCCTGACCTCTGGAAACGATCTATAAATGTGGTCTCTAATATTTGAAGATTCCTTGACAAATATTTGAGTCAAAGGATTTAAAAGTAAAATCTCAGACGTGCACTGTGTGCCAATATTTCGGTGTATGTGTGTTGTACAATTACATGTAGGCATTGTCTTTTTAGATCATGGATTAATTTTGGATTATTGTGGTGACATGTTGTTTTTGCTATTTATTTACTGTGCTTTTTAAGTTACTTATTATTACAGTTAAACAAACACTTAAGGATACTCGTTTTCAAACTCTCAAGAGCAAGAGCAACTAATTACCCTCGACAGCATTGCAATTAACTGTGGTGTTGAACTTTGCTTTTTTTTTTGTTTCTCTAAGCTAATCAGACAATGGCTTGAATGTGAACTGATATAAATATATGGCACTACAGCAGTTTTATATTGTGCTTATTCCATTATAAATGCAAATATTGCTAATTCTATAGTTTAGTGTTAAAATCTCTTTCTTTTTTTCTTTCTTTCTTTCTTTCTTTCTTTCTTTCTTTCTTTTTCTCCATCTCTTTCTTTTTCTCCACCTCTAAAATCGCTCTCTCCATGTTATCCCAGTGTGTATCTACGTGAATAAGCATGTGAACACAGGTCCTAACCTGGACAGGCAGAAGGTGCTGCAGCTGCCCAATCACCTAGGTCCTGCCAGGCCCTCTGTGGTGCTGCAGCAGGCGGTACAGGGCTGCATTGACAGCGCGTTTCAGCAGAAAGCCGTCTTCACCCTGCTTACCGAGGGCTACGGGGGAGAAAAGATCTCAGGTTAATTTGCATGCGAAACACAAATGTGTGCCTCCATTCTAATTATCATTCTGCATTCTGCTGTTCATCCTTTATAAAGCTTGGGGTCAGTAAGATTTTTTTTTTTAAAGAAATTAATGCTTTTGTTCTGCAATGATGCATTAAATTGATCGAAAGTGACAGGAAAGACATTATAATGTTATATAATGTTACAAAAGATTTCTATTTCAAATAAATGCTGTTCATTTGAACTTTCTATTCATCAAAAAATCCTG